ATTTCAAAGTTTAAAGCTTGTAGATTGTGAGAATTTGCTATTTTTTCACTTCAGAATACCACAATTTATAACCAAAAAAAATATATATATATTACCGTTAACTATGCAACAAAATAAAATAAAAAAAGTCAGAACGGTCATGTGACCGTTCTGACTCAACTGTAGGCTGCAGCTTGCAGCAGCACCTGTAGCTATAATTTTTTTTAATTTTTTTTTTAAAACCGGGCTAGCAGTGGTTTACCATGAACCGGTCTGGACCGGTTTCAGGTCCGAGCAGCTCGTGATTTTGCCCACACGGTTCATGGGCCGAATCGCGGGCCGGTTCACCTCCGGGCGGGCCTAGGCAGGCCGAGGCTTGACAACTTTACTTGAATGTGTGTGTTCGGTAAGTACAAATTTCTGTACTTATAGCTCGACTCATTCGAAGAACTCACCTCTAAAAACATGAAAAATGTCAAAATACGTGCTTTCCTCTCTCTTTCATTAGTTCACAATCTTTAAATATAGTGCAAAATTGCATATTTTTACTAAGGGGCGAATTAAGTCCATGTTTAGTAGATATTAAAATCAAAATTTTAATTAAAGTTAAAGTCAATAATTAATTTAAATCATATATTTTATGTGACTCACAACTTTTTAACTACATATTTTATTGATTTTTATCAAATTTCACTAAAACTCTTGTTTTAATCCCTACCAAACATAGGATTAACACTAATGCAAAATATCATTCGACTTCTATAAATACATTTCACTCTTTCTGATTAGAATAATAAGACCATGATTGATGCACGCTATTGAGTGGGTAATGCATTTTAAATAGTGATTTGATGGAAAATATGTAGTTAAAAATAAGAATTTTTTTTGAATTTGTGTGTAATATTATTTTATTGAAAAATGTGTAATTGAAAATGAATTTTGAAAAAATAAATTTTTGTAAGAACGTGAATCAAGAGGGTATTTGGTGGAGATAAAAATCGGATTAAAATTAAAAAATTAGCCGTTATTGTTGACTTTTATTAGATGAGTGAGACCCAATAACGGCTATATTTTCAATTTTAATTGGATTTTGAGCTGTACCAAACGGCCCCAAATATGACGTGAATAATAGAAATAATAATAGAAACTAATTTATTTCCACGTGAATTGCACTTGTTTTAAACCATTTGCAATTTTTGTAGTGGCCCTCGTGTACCCTTCTCTGCAGAGTATCGCCGCAGCTCTGCAAAACCCTATTCCTAGCTCCGCCACCATGGTCGCCGCCAAGAAAACTGTACGAATCTCTCTGTGCCTCTTATTATCTCGATACGTTTTTTGTTGTATCAAAACAACAAAATTTGATTCTAATTTTTAAATTTGTTTTTGTAATTTTACAGAAGAAGACTCATGAGAGCATCAACAATAGGCTGGCTCTAGTGATGAAGAGCGGAAAATACACCCTTGGCTACAAGACCGTCCTCAAATCTCTCCGCAGCTCCAAAGGTTTTTCCTTTTCCCTTTTTAAATGAAATTGTATTGTTTCACGACATTTTTGTTGTGCTGTAACGCTTGCAAGTAGTATTTTATGACACGTATGCCTTTAATTGGGGGAATGATGACAGGTAAACTGATTCTCATTTCTAACAATTGTCCGCCGCTGAGGAAATCTGAGATTGAGTACTACGCTATGCTGTCAAAAGTTGGGGTTCACCACTACAATGGAAGTAAGTTGTCCGATCTTAACTCACTTTCATTAATGATATGATTTTCATACGTGAATTAAGCATTTTTTTGGGAATTTGGTTTGTTTGTGTTGATTTTGATTAATTTTCTGTTGGAATCCATCATGTGCTAGTTGTGGACAAATTGAAAATTTGCCTTTTGATTTTGATTTAACATTCGGTATTTATTTGATCATATTTTGCATTTTCAGTAGTTTTTTAGTGTAAGCTGGCACAATATGACTCGTGGCCTAACACTTACACTGTGGCAACTCAAGGCCCTGAAAAGCAATATAATTCTTTCTAATTATCATTTTGTTTATCACCAACAGTAGCAGGAGAGAAAGCTTGACTAATGCCCAGGACGAGATATTATTTTTTAAGATATCCTTTATTAGTTCTACACACAGTGGTGATACGGGAATTCGTTTAGTATTTCCTACTGTGATTGGGTATTGATGCCATAGTGAACTTTAAGTCATGTGCCTATGATAGTATGATGTGCGTACCATTTTTTTTCCCTTGCAACTAGAGCTTAAGGTCCTCACTTTAAGCTTGAGTCTTGTATTTAGTTCAAGTGTATGGTGGTAAACATTTAAGCCTGCCTGTAAAGAATAATTCTCTCGACTATTCTAGCCTAAGCCTTTTGTACTGGACCTGGCTCTATGTTGATTCTCTACTTCTATTTGATAAAGTCAGTTCATCTGCTATACAAGTTTCTTCTTTCACTGGGATATGCTATCTCGAGCTTCACTAAATGAGATTTGTCGTTGTGGAGAACATGTACTTTCAAACTTTCTCGAGCACATACTTGTCAACCCATACACCTCTCACATACCACATATCCTTTCCCTATCTCTCTCCTTCCTTTCTCTCCACTGGAGGGATTTTATGAGCTATTTCCCATGGGAAAAAAATTGTACCATTGTTTTCCTTCCCTTGGACATTTGTGCACCAGATCCATATATTGTGATGATTTATTAATTTTCCACTGGAAGGTGATCAAATTTCTAATTTCTCTTTCTGTTAGATAATGTTGACTTGGGAACTGCATGTGGCAAATACTTCCGAGTTTCCTGCCTTAGCATTGTCGATCCAGGTATGTGATAAATTCAGTCTGCTTCTGTTATGGTTCAATACTAGAGAAGTTGGATGGCCTCTTGACAACGTAATTGCTTCTTTGTCCATGTAGGTGACTCGGACATCATCAAATCATTGCCTGGCGATCACTAAAAAGAGATTGTTTTTCATTCTTGTATCTGCTTTTCTGCTTCTAGAAGTGATCATCAATTTCTTGAAATTTTGATTCTTAATATGAATATCTATCTGTGCTGTTTCTCAATTGCCATACCCAGTTTGGGTTCCAAACTTTGTGGGTGCCTTACAATTTTCCACTTCCTAATGCTATTGGACATGACTAGTAACGGTGTTACTTCTTCTTGTTCTTGACTAACTATAGTTTGATTCTAGTTTTTCCATTTTCCGTTTAATAATGATGTTCACTTTGCTATCGGGCACACTTGGCTAATAATAACAATAAAGGAATCATATGAACAGTTGAAAGGATGCAGTGTTATGTTTCATTTTTGGAAAAGATTGGATTCTCCATTTGGCTAAACTTAAAAGTGAAATACAGTTCTAAGTGAATTTAAATTCCTTTTTAGTCCGTATAAGCCCTCTAAAATAAACTTTGCTTTAATTTAGTTTACTTATTTTTAACTTTAATCAATAAAAATTCTTTATTTTAATTTAGATATTTTTTTAGAGAAAGTGAGTCATCATATAATCTTTTATTATCTATTTCGTTTCTTGTTTTCTCTATTATTTTCTCTCATTTTAAATTTACATTTAAATATGAAATTTGAATTATAGACAGAATTCATTGGAGGTGAAATTTCAACTAGGTCATCTATTCATCATATATTAATGAGTATATAAAGTCTTTCTATTTCAATGTCATCTAGATTGCAATCTATAAAATTTGATGTATCTCATGAGTGAAATGCAGACTAACCAACCAAATAATAAAACTATTTCGTACAATTATCAACTTGTAGCCATATTTAGCATATAAATGCTGATTAATCTAGATGACATTGTAGAATGAGAGGATGGAATAATCAATACCATCAGTTCAGGTGACAATTGAATGATAATAATGGATTCATTTAAATGTTACGTTACATGATTACATGTAGGTGTTTTGCGTGTTACCAAAACAGTGCAAGACACTCCTTAAGGGCTGTTTAGATGGTGAAGCTAAAGGGTCGTTTGGGTCGAGTGTCCTCAATTCAATTGGTCAACTTATTCAACATCCTTCTCCTTGGCTTCACCCCCACCAGCTGTGTTATAGTGCATGCCTGAACACAGTCTCTCTAGTCCCATCCATAGCTGCATAATCCTTTCTGGCAAACAAGAATAAGCCATAATAAGGAATAACTTTGCAATGATTGAACTTACCCTACGAAATGCCAAATTGTTGACACTTTCACAACAAGTGACGAAATGCAAAAGATGTTGCAAGACTGAGTACTTTGCTAGACTATTTAGACCTGTTGTTCATGCAAGATGAGGTTTTTGCCCTTTCTATGTCAACAAACCTACCTTAAATTCAGAACCAAGAAATTATAAAAGAGGAGAAATTAAAAAGTAGTTTTGTTATAATTTATATTGAAAAATCTCCTTATTTAATAACCGTCATTGGGGTGCCGATAGTATTTGTTACCTCTAATTGGAAAATTGATACATTGCACTATAATACGAATAAAAATAAGCTTTTTTTTTTTTTAATTACTCAAGGGTCTCAATATACCATATCCAAACTCGTCCGACCAACAATTTTTCGTGTTCTGTGCGATGCTTGTGCCACGTGCAGTATTTATACTACTTTTAGCTATTTTTGCTGAGAATCATACTACATGTACAATCTAATTTGACAATATTGATTGACAACTCACATTTAACAATATCGCATTCATCCATTTCAAAAACTTTTATTTTTAAATCAATCACCCGAATTTTGACAACATCAACATTGTCAACCATTATTGTCAAGTATGATTCTACAAATGGCATAATTGTTTTGCTAATTCATATGTAGTAAAATTGAGTTGTAAAGCATTTCAATTACCTAACTATTCATGCCTTGAAATCAAACATTATGCTTTACCAAAGGTTTTAATGATTTTTCTGTAATTTTAAGTGAGACCATTCTTGAGAAAAGATGAAGGTTTTTTTCTTTTTTCATTTTCCGTTCAGGTTATTTTTTCTTCTTGGTTTTTGTTTTCTATTGATCATTTTTTGATGGGTTTAAGTGACATCACTATTTTGCCCTTCATTAAAGGCGTGTGCAATTAACGTAACTGGATTTAAGCCTGAACTGTACAAAAATATTAAAGAGGACTGAATCTGATATTATAGTAAACGTTCGGGACACATATACAACGTAATGTTTGTCTAATAAAATATCGCAACTTTTGTGAAAGGTTGGTAGAGGTCTTTTGATAATAAATTTTGAGAAAAGTGATTTTTTTGAGAATATGTGATTAAAAAGTAGGAAAAAGTTAAGAGAGGAAAAATGAATTTTTTTTTTTACTTTTAAATGATAAAATAACACAAATTGCAATCTTCGTGCAAATACAGTGCTAAACTAGTATCAAATATATAAAGTTGGCTGCAACAACCATCATTAGGGTCGAAGAAGAAGATGACGACGACGACTTTGGAGAAAACTTAACTCCAATTCGGGAAGAAAATCATTCAAATGATCCTAGTGAAGTTATGGCTCCTGAAGAGCACTTGAGATCAGGATTCAAGACTTCAGGTATAAGTGTAGCAAATCTACTACCAAATATCCCACTATCCTGGGCAATACTAGCAAGCTCAATATTTTTGAGTCAAGTGAAGACAGACCAAAGGCCACGTGCCAATGGAAATGAAAGACCGATGAAAGGGTTCTGTTTGTGACAGTAGGAGAATGAATGCTTTGAAAACCAAAGCTTCTGTTGGAGCAGTCAAAGCTTTACCATCAGTGGGTGATGCTTCGAGTGAGAAGTTTAATGGCGTTGATTATTTCGCGGCAGCAAACATAAAGCAAATGTCTCGAAGGTAGAATGTTTCACAGACAAGGCCAAGAGATTAGTCGTCTAGCATTGAGTTGACAACTGGGAATAAAAAGCAAAGGATTATATGTGAATTTCATGCCAAAAGGATGGTGCATCAAAAGGAAATTATGTAGGTTCCTTCATATAAAGGAGGGAGCCATGAAAGCATCAAAGCAGAAATTATTTTCTAGCAGAAACAGTACACAACTGGGCATATGACCAGGATGTGTTCTGACATTGGAAGCCTTCTGTTCCTTTTCGCCCATCACACAGAAACTATTGTCTCAAGCAAATTCGTATGACCCCATTCGTGATAGCATTGAGCCAACAAATGTTGGAGATGGAGTCTCAAAAGTTTCTTGTCGTGGCAATCTACATTCGAGAGGAGACAATGAATCAAAGGCAATCATATCATTCAATAATGTTTTACATCCATTATAACTGTCAACCTGAAGCTACTCATATCGTGCTACCTAATTAAGATCAAGGAACATGACAACAAGAGTATAATATTCAATGACACGCAGTAAATCAATTTTTTTAGAGGCTAGGCCGAGGGGCAAGAATGGGTAAAGTACAAAACATATTAGACAAACGTGTATTTTTTTATATAAATAGATGGGTTGATTCTTTGACCTCTACCGATTTATTAAAATGAAAAATGACAGTTATACTCGCATATAAACATGAAATATAAGCGCACACCCTATACATAGAAGAAAATTGAAAGAAAAATCACAAAAGGGAAATTTTAAAAGAGAAGTAAAAGTAGGAGACTGAGTAGCTATTGAGAATCTGAGATTGTAGAGAGAGAGAGAAGCGTGTGCGTACATTGTGCTTGTAGCGTTCTAACTTTGTGTAGGAAGAAAAATGTATGCATTTATAGAACACGAGATGAAGGGTGCATGTTTTGTGCAAAATACGTGTGCATGTGTACAGAGAGGTAAATCATTCAGTACCTTTTGTTGCAGCCACAGATCCCCAAAAACTCTTGTCAACTGCAAAAAAAAATATGAAATGTCATTAAAAAATATTTGTCAATAAAACAACGATTGGAATCATAGATCGTGTTCATTAATGTGATACATGAAAGTAGTTACAAAAATATATTTCTACGATTATTTAGATAGAATTTTCTGTGTAAATACTTTTACAAGAGGCTTCTGGTTCCCCTTAAAAAATCGACACCAATCTTAAAAGCATCCATCAGCTCTGCTCCAAACCAGGATCTAATTCCCTATCTCATTCATTTACCTATTCTTCAACATTACCCATCATCAAAAGTGCCTCCTTAATGTCAACTTGTAAGCATCTCCCCATAAACTTCTTTGAACTCTTCGCCACAGATTTTCTCATCATGCCCTTCTCCTTTTCTCTATTTTCCAAATTTCCGTTGTGTTTTTCACCATTGGCATTAGCATTTCCACCTATACCCGCATAGTACTATTTTCCCCTTGAATGTTCACCTTTTCCTGAAATTCAACTTTTTATTCATTTTTAAACCTTCACCACAAACTGTTTCATCGTCAGAAGATGTATCTATAGCACCATCTTCATTATTTTTTGCATTACATTCACCCTTGAATACACCCTCGTCCCTCTCAGGCGCCATGTTTGGGCAAAATGAAATCCACATCTTCACTCTATTTATCCGTCATTATAACTTGTATACTTAGTACACCCCAATGGCACGTACCCTTAGGAGATGGACCACAATAGCCAAAGCGTAGAACCCTTTTCTACACTTGTACATTCTAACACCTCAAACAACAGTCTTCAAAAACAATGTTGTACTCGTTAACATAATAACAGTAATAGCACATGGTTCAGAAAGTACGACCATCAATCCCTTATTTAGAACCCTGATTTTCCCTTAACTCTTTCATTGAGGTTTCAGCCTCACTACTAGGGTTAGCGGGGGCGGGGGGTGCATTTTGTGCAAAATAAGTGCATTTGTACAAGGCAACTCAAAAGATGGGGTGTGCGTGTTTTGTGCAGATATGTGGATATCTGCAGAAGGAATCAAAAGAAATTAAGATCCGTTTGACTGCAGGGTGGAAAATGAGTGGAAAGAAAATGAATTCCAGATAAAATAATTACCTAGATCTTATTTTTTAGAGAATTGTTAAT